ACATAATGGGCCATGTGCACTCTAACCACCTCGGGTAATCTAGACCTGCATTTCAGGATCGTAAATCCGAAAACTTACCGCTGACCCTCCAGAGAACAAATGAATATAGCAAAATGGCAAGTAGGGTGAGTTTATCAGATAATAATAAATATGTCAGTAGATTAAACACAATATATCTCCTAGTATGTGTCAGCGGTAAGTTAATGTACTGACAACGCTAAAATCCGGGACTCAATTCCCCGCGATGGACATATAGCTCATTATGTAGTTTTGCACTAAGAAAACAACAACAGCAGTAATCCCAATGCCAATAGTTTTTAATGATTTATTAGTTATATATTCAACATGGAGATTAAGAGTAATATTATTTAATAATTGGCCTGGCATGACCAGGTGGTTAGGACACTCGGGTCTCGGGTTCGAATCACCGCCACACCAAACAACCAAACATGCTCACCCTTTCAGCCGTGGGGGCTTTATAATGTAACGGTCAATCTCACTATTCGTTGGAAAAAGAGTAGCTCAAGAGTTGGCAGTGAGTGGTGATGACTAGCTGCTTTCCCTCTTGTCTTCCACTGCTAAATTAGGAACGGCTAGCGCTGATAGCCCTGGTGTAGCTTTGCGCAAAATTCATAACAAACAAACTAATTTTCAATAACTACTCCGCAGATGTAGTTTAATTAGGTTTGCTGGCTATTTTCAGCTTTATGGACATTTTATATGTCATAATTTATTTTTATACAAAAACTACGACTAGTTTAGAACACAAAAACATAACAGAAAACAAACAAACAAAAAATGAAAATTTGAAATTGAACAATGAGGTTGTAATCATTTGCATGACATCATAATACATTCTAATTTTTTTGTTTGTAATTAAGCACAAAGCTACACAATGGGCTATCTGTGCTCTGCCCACCACGGATATCGAAACCCGGATTCTAGCGTTGTAAGTCCGCATACATACCGCTGTGCCACTGGTGAGCAACATTCTAATAGTTAGCTTTCAAACAGTTACTCTTGCTTTTACACGTTAATTTTATTGATTTAAAAAAAACAAATTGGCAATTATCCTTAATAATTCTTTTACTGTCAGGAACAGCTATAACAACAAGTGAAGAGATTTTGAAAAGTTTGTTGTATAAATGTCAGTCAGTTTCCTTAAGTAATGTTCTTAAAATCAAACAACACTTGATATATTGAAAATTATTTTTAAATTAACTATTTTAACGTGTTAATAACAAGATTTATGAAAGAGGGAATAGATGCGATCATACAAATAGGGATTTCCTGCTGATTTGAACCTTTTTTATCTATTTTTTCATCAGAATGTTTCAAATGTCTTGAATAGAAGATAAGAAACTTCAAAAACTTCGTTTTTATATTTTGAATTACAGTTTGCGAAGATTTTTCACTAGTATTAGATAAACATTAAATGTACCTTCAATTTAAATACGTGACTGTAAAAGTTTTGGATTAATGAATATTATCAAATTGCTCATATAAGGCTTGAAAACAGTCAGCAAAAATAAATAAATATAAATATAAGCGTAAAGACACACATTGGGTTCCTTGTTATCTGCTTACCTCAGGGATCTAACCGCAAATTTTAGCGCCATAACTCTTCTAGCTTATTGCTGAGCCATCGCGGTGGAGTCATTACACATTTTTAGTTTCAGTAAAGCAGTGAACACGTCTACATAAATGTATTCATATTTATGAATGTAAACGAGCGTTTACTTATAAATTAATATTCTGTTTTAAAAAGTTTTCACCAATGGTTCAGTGGTAAATCTGGAGATTTACGACACTAAAAATCAGGTTTCGATATCAGTGGTAAGCAAAGCATAAATAGTCCATTGTGCAGACAAAAAGCCTTCAAGTTAGTTATAAGTATTGTTACGTCTCCGTTTGTTAATTAATTTTCCTTAACTTCGTTCCGACGAAACTTTAGCGACACAAGTCCTT